AGTAATTTGAGCTCACTGTGCAAAGCTTGCGCCATGTGAAGGTTATTCTCTAATATGTATTATTTGATTCCGTTATCAATCAACGGTCTGAATTTCGAGAGTGGTGTTGTCGCTTGAATGGAAATTATATTAGGTTGTCCCAAAAGTTCGTGCCACTTTCAAACATTTTTTTCGAGTTAAGGTTTTTTCACCAAAAAGCAATATCCATCATCAACATGTTTGATGCCAGCGATCCACCAGAGTGTCGACGCCGTGCTCCTAGAAGTTCGGCAGTTTCAAGCTGGAAAAGGCTGTGAGGTCGATTTCGAGCACCTTTTTTGAATCGTATTTTTCGTCAGTAAGATGATTACTTAGCAAGATGAATAGTTGGCCTTCTGGAGGAGGCTGATCACCGCTGTACGATGGATCTGGTTGCACTTCTCAACTAAGCTTCGAAATCCAGAGCCGTGCAATTTACGAAACACGTGGTCTCGGTTGTCGCGGAGCGGACGTACTTTATTAAATTTTGGGCGTAATAGTTGGAGTTTTCTGACCAGCTTCAGCCTTGATTGAAGGAGACCTAGGCTGTTACAAGGCCGAAGCTGTGGAGAAGTTCTCGGTGGCTTCTTCGAGATTTGCTCCCCATACGTGAGCCAACACGGCTTGCTGTATTTGACAGTTTTTCAACCCCTTTTGATCGATCTAGCCGCTGATGCTTCCGCAGGTCTTAGCATAGAACAACCACTTCTCATCAGCAGTAGCGCCGTTGTTCAGCCACCGCGTAGGGATGGAATAGGATAGAAGATGTTGACAGAACTCGTGTTGCACTCTTGTGATTAACGGTCAATTCATGGGGATTTCTTTGTCCAAGCCTCTATAATTTTCCAGAGGAGTGCAGACCTCTATCAATCGTGTACCTGAAACGTCTGAGTGTGGCGGTCACATAGCAAAAGAACTCGTGCGGGTAGCTTTTAATGGGGGAGCACAGCAGGTCCAAATCGGACACCGATTGCCTTTCCAGGTCAGGATTTTCTCGAGGCTGTAGTCCCAGAGAGAAGCAGGTTGCACCATTTCGATACCTCATGAAGAACGACGACGAAGAGGTGTACACTAAGTGAACGTACTAACAATAAGTAAACGTATTACTAAGTAAACGTAACTCCTGGGTTCGACCGATTTGTGGCTCAGCAGAAGGTCCATAATTCAAAGTGTGAAAAAATATGGCTCTCTTCGTTTTCGGCTTTAAGTTCGAAGAAAGCAGCTAAGGTGGGCATAGTTCGCGTATAGGTTACTCCACGAAGTGGGCTTGTCGTAGCTCACTTGCTCATATTCAGATCGCTAAATGGTTTTGGCATGAGGTGCAAAAAGTGGCCGAACTTATGGACATACCTAATATAAATTCCCGGCACGAAGTGAGTGGAAGAAGCCCACAGTAAGCATTATAAGGATAAGTTTGATGATTCTTGTTATGGAGATAAATGACTTATATTTCATCGAAGAAGTCCTCTTATTTCGCTGTTTCCCTGATCAAAGTTTATATAAGACTTACAGGCTGTTTTTTGAAGTGGTATACAATCAGTTAAGGATAAGTCTTTCGCTTAACTAGTACTTTATCAGTAATTTATGTCCCACTCCTCAGCGCTTGCGTCCGCGAAATTGCTGGGCTATAACATGTAGCAGCAATAGCTCATGTAGCATAATACTGAAAACATTAAGGCTCGTTCACAGTTCGCGACTCCGGAGATTAGGATAGTACGCGACAATGAAAAACATATGTATTGACGGGGAGATTAGGATAGTAGTAGATTGGGATAGTAGTAGAGTAGGAGATTGCGCTGACAAGATTAGATACGTATCGATTGAAATCGCCCAGAGTAGTAGATTGCGATATTACGATAGTAGGATAGTAGTAAGATTGCGCTGAACAGATTAGATACATATTGATCAGAATATTATTTATTAAATCTCCCACTCTACTACTATCCTAATGTCCTATGGCCTACTATCCTAATCTCCCGAGACGCGAACTATGAAGGCGGCCTAACACTAGAGCTGTGGATCTACCATTAAATTATTAAAAGATCACGGAGCCATGAAAGACGCTGAAATTCGAATACTTCAGCATATGCAACTTTTACGAGAATGCGGTAAAGGTTAAGAGTTCTCTTGCACAATCAAGGTGAGGCGCTAATTCGTAAAATTGTAACTTGGCCACATCAAGGGTATACATGTGTATAAATAATAGGTTTAGCTTGTGCTGAAAGGATCACCCTTGTCAGCTTCAAAAGCAAACTCATGTGAAGAAAATGTGAGCTGTTTTTCGAACGATGCTCGGTGAGGCATGACCGGATTACTTGAGAAACGTATGTATTACGGTGAACTTAAAACTATACGCTCGTTGAATATGAACGAGTACTTTGAAAAGTAAGACCTGCGAAGATAGATGTTCATGTGCTCCCGCAGAATACGAAAGTCACGGCATGGGCTCTGATGGTCTAGAAGTCTGCTTTTCTGTGTATTCATGGTGAGAATACTAAGATAAGCGTGCTGAGTAAGCGTTATTTGCTTCAGGCATATGCTTAGGCATCTCTCCGATACAGCGCGCCACGTGGCGACTTTTTTTTTGTCGCAATGATGCGTGTTCGAGCAACGAAGGGACACTTCATGATATGCAATCACCTTTTCGTAATCGTATTTTATTTGTTGTATGGTTAGAAGAAACCCCTTAGTAAATAGAGCGTGTTCTTTGGGGTTCACTGAACGAATTAGTGCTTGTGCAGGTCATTCAAACCCCCAAATTGACCAGTGCGACTGTTTACCATGGGGGCAAGGTTTTTATTTCTTGTTGGCATCACCTTCCTACTATTACGCGTACGAGATATTTTTCGATGATTTAATGGCAAATAGACTCACATGGTGAACATGAAGAGCAATGAAAGTTGTCACAATGAAGAACACCTGTGCAATTGCTATCATTGCGCTAATGAAGATTGCCAACTTAACAAATGGTAATAATAATCTGGAAAGTAGCTGACGGTTAAGCTTTGGTAGGCTAAAGCCGCAATAACGTGAAAATATGAACTATGAAACGTACAAACATCGATTCTCGTTTACCTTCTTAGATGTGCTGGGGTGCGTTTGGCTTTGATTTCCCCATTGACGTTTCGCTACCATGCGTGCTACTTCCGATTTGTGCTCCGGGGAAACCTTTTGATTGCCTTGGTGTTTTAGCAGCGAACTGAAGCAAAAAAGCATGCATATTTAGGAATGCTTGCAAAAATGTAGGAAAGTGCAAATGCTGCATTACTGGAACTATGGAGGGATTATGCGACTGTATGCATGGAATTCCTATAGATACATTTTCTTAGTGAGTTTTTCACACGTGCGTTAAGCCAGCGACTTGAGACGAGACAGCAAGAAATAGCCGCACGGTAGGGAACGAGTAGAAGGTATTAATCAGGGAGAGAGCGCAGAAGTGTGAGAGGACGAGACATCAGTGCTGCGCCATTGCATCCGATTCGGCGTAAGCCCTCGTGTATTCTCATCAAGTTGGGACCCCAAGTGCAAATCATTATTTTCGGCTTTCGCACGTCTAAATATAATTGGACACGTCGCGATCCTGGAATTATATTATCACGTATGTAACGATATTACTCGATGAAATACGATTGAATCGAATTGCTTCTATTTAAGGACGATTTTATTTTCCCTACACGCATTTATTACATCAGACCCAGCCATGAAAGGAATACCAATAACTTGGCATAAATGAAAGAAGTTTTAGCAACCTGGCTATTGGTTAGCTAAACCAAGTGGTCATATGATAGCTTGACGGCAGGTGACTTGAGATTAGCCACAATTAGAGATTTCTCAGGCATGGCTTTGTCAGTTATGAACACAAGGCACTTCCTTTTTTTTCCATATTTCTCAGCACCAGTTTGCAAATTCCCTAATATAATACCGGAGGTGAACTCACCTTCCCTCGGATCGGATAAACACCTAAACAATCACTTTTTCATCTACTAATCGGGTTTCCGACTAAAAACACATGTGATGGATTACTTTTCGATAACCCACCAGCTTTCACCCCTTCTTGCTTAAAGTTTCCAGCTTAGTACCGTTCTCATCAACTTTTAGGCTAATGCAATCAGACTATCGTCTCCCATCTCGCTTTCATGAACAGAAGGCGATCAGCTGAGCAAACAATAACTGCTGCCAACATTATAACAGAATAGGACCACCTGCCTATTCAATTGGCAAGGCTACTGCACAGGGAACTAGACCGGCTTTGAGACGCATACTTGCACCGAAGAGATTATATAGGTTCTAGTCTGTGTGGAGATAGATAACACATACGGTCTAGATGAGACATCACTCACTGTTCATGAATAGGTTATCCGATGGGGGGGGGGGAGGGGCATTAGTGTGGATAGCGTGACTCTACTCTTTTGCTACTTCGCTGCTCCAACATCTATGAGCTCTTGATGCATTCGCAGTGTAGCCTTGATAACATCTGAGGCTCGCACGTTTCCTCACGTTTTCAAAAATACAAGGCCAAGCAAGGTGCCCACATGCTGCTAATACGCAGTCTAGTGTGCTTTGCTGCCTCCTCTTTGACTCTTTCAGTATATGTCATAGCGAAACATTCATTCTTAAGTCAATTTTCTCATAGCTTTTAAAGTTCAATGCACGAAGTTTTTAAATGTAGTACTAACAATCGGTGCCATAAACGACACACACACATTCACGTATAAACTGCAGCTTCCAGAAAAAATTTCGCTTCTTTTTTGGGTCTCAGGGCCGCCAAGGAAAACCATAGCAGTGTTTGTTTCCCATGTACGATGCCCTATCTCGCGGAAAATCTTGTGAGAAGTGAGGCACGCCTTGGAACTTCCCTAGAAAAAATGATCCATTGCAAGAGACGTTTTGAACAGACCAACCAATAACTATTGGGTAGTCACAATAGCAAAACGAACAAAACTTCATTCAACAATTGAATGTTCCTAATGTAATTATTGTAACTAAAAACAAAGAAGTCGTAGAGCTAAATTCCCAGCAGGCATTATACTTCTTCCATTCGTCACGTCCACATGTGATGCATACATTCGTCGACGGCGTTGTTCCCCAGATCCCTCATCTGAAAATAATTCCTTTATGATTGAAACGGATCAAATCAGGAAATCATCTTACCTCGGATTTCTATAGCTACGCTTTCATCAATTTCCGTCTTACCTACACGGCGCTGCTGAATTACGGGAAAAAATGGCTGAAATGTTGCTGAACATGATATGATTAGCCCAAGGATAGCATAAGATGTTACGGCTTGGTTCGCCCTCCCACGCCCACTTAGCATCTTCTGTACCTAAGATCCGTACTTCATTTATTCCCACCAAGGTTCCTCTTAGATTCTTACACGCATACAACACGTTATTGAAAGGATTCTACGATAGGGACGAAGATCGAAGAAGGAGAAGCTTACCTAGTGGAACGACAGGCAGACCTCATAAGGCCGATGTCAGACTTTGCGAATCGCGCGATTCGCTAGCGTCTGCGGTCGCGTCGCGGCCAGTGAATCACTCAATTGGCTGGTACCGCAACGCGACCGCGGACGCTAGCGAATCGCGCGAATCGCTAGTAGCGAATCGCGCGATTCGCAAAGTCTGACATCGGCCTAAGGGTGCGGACCGACACGCAATGCGCGTCGAAGGATAACTGACGTGCTGTGGGCGCGGTACCCCCCCCCCTCTGGCGTCGTCTCGTGTCTGCGTCTCTAGCCATTTGCTGAGAGAGCGCTAGCGTTAAATAGGGCAGCACCGATGAGAGTCGCATCAGTGCACAGAACAACGGGCAAGGAAGGGGTCCTATTTATCGGGTTCTGAGCCTTTCCCCATTGTTTCTTCTCACACGGCACCACTGCTCACCCCTTCCTGGATTCTAATCCTTTTGCCTTCTGATCTTAAACTCTGTCTCTTGAGCAGCCACGCACACCTATTTGTCGAATCTGCTGTTTCGTCTACCATGTCTCTCCAAGAAGAATAATACAGTTGAGGAAAAAAAAAGAAAACCTGTAAGAGGAGCAATATCATTTACCAAATATTCAATGCCATCTAGAAGCGCTATCTCCATCTTGCGCGTCATGTTGTCAATGGTTCCGGTGTCTAAGAAAGCCATCGGAGACACCAGCACATCCTCCGTTGTACCAGATCGTCCTTGAAAAGCCACTGTATAAAAGAGGAGACGTGGTATTGCCCGCGAAACGTGTATGCCTCCACCAGCGTTTGCGTAAGCAAGTTGGATCTGAAAGTAAAGCTTCTCGTTAAAGTGCTAATGTCACTATAGAGTGAATTCAATATTTGTTTTGCACCCGCTTTATGCATCTTTGACCAGTGCGCTGGACTCATCTCATAGTTAAGCCCTGACCTACGACTTTTGAAGAGTACCATCAGTGTTCTAAACAGCTATCCTTTTTCAGCCAGTAAACATCCTTGAGGCAATAGTCCCAGCACGGTTTTCACCATCGACACTGATGGTGTGGAACGATGCGCTAGCCCCCATCAAGAACATAGAAGTGTGACTGAAAACGTTGGAAATTCGTAGAAGCTGAACGATTCCGAAGTGGGCGTGGTTGCGAATCCGCCGCAATCTTCTCGGCCGAATCGAAACCACGCCCACCTCGAAGCCGTCTAGCTCCCCTTTGAATGGCTTGCCAAAAGTTTTTTGTTCAGTCACGTTAACATTGTTCGTGACTAGGGCTGGCCCCTTCGCTTCACACCGAAGGTAGTGTTAAAGGTAATACCCTACTGAGACTGTTGCTTCAAAGGAACCGTCTATGAAAAAAAAATCACTACTCTCTGTACTACATAAATCGTTAGCTTGAGAACCATAATCCACGAGAAGAACGAAAAACGAAGGGAAAATGCTTTGGCTTGTAAAGAATCCGAAACACTAGAAGGATAATAATAGTCAAGTCCACTGCTACAATATGTCACAACATATGGCGTCAGAACGTCCAGGGGTGTAGCCTTCTCGGGTATATATCAGGTCTCCCGATTGTGTCAGGTCGGCTCGCCGCGCGCGGCGACCGTTCGGTCAATGGTCGCGGCAAGTAGCGATGTGGCAGGCGAGCAGCCCGCCTGCAACGGCCAGCTGGAATTTTGCCAAAACCTCAGGGTAAAATCGATATGACGCGATCTATTGGATGGTGGGTAATCGCATAATAGTGTAGTTTTCTTAATTCTTCGCAGAACTTGATTCTATGTCCTATGTGTGTATTCTACTGCAAGTCATTGGAGCTGGCCACTTTCAATATGTTACTAACACAATTAAGTTGTACTCAACAGGTACATATGATTATGATTATGATTAATTATTGATTGTAAAAGCAAACACAACAAAGCAGGTACATGTTTATGTGATTGTTTAATAAGTATGTATGTGCCCTTTTTTCGAATATATGTGGAAGAGGGTGAAATGCACAGGCTTTGACAGGAATGTCTCCTTCCCCGAATTAGAAGAGAACACATGAAAAGCTTTCTATTTCAGATAATGATATGACGGTTAAAACTTATGCAGGGAGGAGAAACTTCCTAAATTCCTGAGCAATTTTCGTTCTCCCCGAATTTTCCGCCCTCCTAAATCTAGTCTAGAGGATGTTCCATATCTTACAATAGCGCCACTCCTTATTCTGGAACATTCGTTAAAGTGACGCTTCAAGAAACATGAAGTTAAACGGCAAAACGAAGAGGATATAAAGCCAACAAAGGAGGAAAAAACGTGGACGGATGGAGTATGTTAAACTCGCCGCGCCCTCAGCCTATCCGCCGCGCGCGAGGGGGCGTGGCCGCCGCGATGCGGCGCCGACCTGACATTGTCGGGAGACTTGATCGTCTCATGCATTGTCCTCCTGGGGTCAGGCTGCCACCGCACGCGGCGATCGGGTTCGCCGCGTGTGCGGCGATTCTGCGATGTGGAGGTTAGTTGGTGTATCTTTTTCCAATAGGCATACACATTTGAGGAGTCAGTCAGTTATAATTGTGGGCTGATCGTTGTTATAGTTAAAGTATTGGATTGGTGGTTTAGTTTCCTTTTTGCCGTAGCCGGACAAACGCCCGTCTCCCGAACGTCCACTACTTTCTGTAGTCGCCAATGAAATCTTTCTTTGGCCTTTCATCTTCAACAACAACATTCCATTCTCTCACTGCCTCCTATTCTATCGATCGTTTTGTCTTCATTCTCCATCTAACGGTTCTTTTCGATTCTTTCATGGTGCTTGATACGTGGCCGCACAACGACGCGCTTCTTCCCAAGCGCTGCCTTGCCTTTGTGCGAGCTAAATCCGTGACGCGCTTCTTCCCAAGCGCTGCCTTGCCTTTGTGCGAGCTAACCGTGACGGTCTCCCGAGCAGGGTCAACCCTACCGTTGAAACTTTTCAATTTTTTTTTACACCTCCTCTGCTTCATTTTCGCACT